TAATATGGGTCAATGCACATAATGGTGAAAGTCTTGTTGATTTACTTATTACTGATAAAGGTAATTTTTGTAATATTTCCTATTTCAATGTACAGGATTTTACGATGTATTCCAATCACGCGCCTGTATTATTTTCACTACGTGCGAATAGCGTATTACATGATAAGAAAAACAACGAGCGTGTTTTTCATAAATGGAACCTGAGTTTAAAAATTTCTTGAGTGAAATTGCACGCGATGTAGATGAATTATATTTTTACTTAAACGCGTATAAAGACAGCGGCCAAAGTACGGATTATTTGGTCAATCTTGTATCTGAATTTATTACTAGCAGAGGAAAAAAGTATTTTGCAATACGTCGTAAAATACCTTATAAACCATATTTTAATGAATGTCATTCTTTGCTTAATCAAAATAAATTGTTTAAGGATCTATGTAGGAGCAAAAAAGAAAGCTATAAGGAAGCAGTTTCACAATTCAATCAAGAGAGAAGTTATGAAAATAAACAATTTTTGTATAGTAAGAAAAAAGATTATAAATACTGCTTTAAAGTGACTAAACAAAAACACTTAAAAAATATGTCATTAAAATGGAGGAAATGAAAAATAAAAAAAAAAAGAAACAGAAGAATTCTGGGAAATGTTTAAATCAAAAAATAATTCTGACCGTAGCGAATCTATTGACATAAATGATTTATATGAACATTTTAAAGAATTGACCTCAGAATTAAAAATTGATGAGGATGAAGATTGTATAGATTTTTTTAATTGATTTTGATTCTCATGTTTCTGCTGACTCATCGTTTGAAGAATTAAATGAAGCGTTTACATTAGATGAAATAAGGCGTGCTATTAAATTGTAAGGCAGAGATAAAGCATGTCCGTTAGACTATGTTTTATATGAGTAATTTTAGAAGGTATTGATATTTTAGATCAGCGTTAGAAATCTTATTTAATTATATTCTTGATAAACAATGTTTCCAAAAGTCATGGTCTAAAGGGGTCATTAAACCTGTATTCAAAAAGGGAGATAATGCTAATGTAAATAATTATAGAGGTATTACGCTTATTATTCACTATTGTTATTAATGAAAGATTAAAGAAATGGTCTATTGCGAATGATATTGTTACCGACGCACAGTTTGGTTTTAAAGCTTAATATAGTACTGTAGATGCAATATTTCTATTGAATTCCTTTATCGAAAAACAATTGAAAAATAGATCTAAACTGCACTGTTGTTTTATTGATCTGTAAAAGTGTTTTGATTCAATATACAGGAATGACCTTTGGGTTAAACTTATTAAAATTGGGAATAGTGGTAGATTATTTTATGTTGTACGGTCACTTTATAATGATGTTAAACATTTGACTCAGTCATCCGATGTGTACGATTGTGACATAGGATTATTGCAAGGGGAGATAATGTCTCCTCTGCTCTTTTCTCTGTTTATAAACGATGTAGAACTACATTTACAACAAAATCAAAATGCTGTATTTCTCTAGATCAACTTTCAATTTATTTATAACTTTTTGCAGATGATGCAGTGAGTTTTTCAGAAACTGAAGAGGGCGGATAATTTTAAGACATATTGTGATAAATTGAAACTTAAAGTTAATATTGCTAAAACAAAAATTATGATTTTCAAGAAAGGTGGTAACAACAGAAACACTAATTATTGTTTTAAGTATGATGAAGAAACTATTGGAATTGTTAATTCTTTTAACTATCTTGGACTTTTATTATCTATCGGTGGTTCGTTCACAAATGCTATTAAAGCTCTATCAGGAAAAGCACTTAAAGCCATCAGCTCTTTAGTTTCAGTAACTAGACCATTAGAAATACTTAATTATTCTTGTGACGTATGGGGATTTACAATGTCTGAACAAAAAGAAAGGGTTCATAGGAAGTTTTTAAAATGGGTTTTAAATGTAAAAAAGACTACATGTAATGCTGATTTGTACGGTGAAACTGGTCGTTTTCCGCTTTTCATATTACGGCAAATGAGAATAGTAAAATATTGTTTGAAATTACACTTAAAGAAAAGTAATAATTGTTTGCTAGTAAAATGTAATTTTGTCACTAAAATAGAGATGCAAATCAAACTAACTGGGCAACTAAAGTTAAGCAATCGTTACAAGAAACAGGATTTAATGATGTTAGGTTATTTCCTTAATCTGTCAATGTTGATATTTTTATTCCAATACTTAGACCAAAACTTATAGATATTTATATCAATAACTGGAGACAAGATGTAAATGTTAAAAGCTCATTCTCTTTGTTTAATTAAAGAATTAAAAAATAACTTTGAAATATCAAATTATTTTAATAGAATGTTTTGCACAAAACTGAGAAATACAATAGCTAAACTAAGATTGTCTTCGCACCGTTTAAATATAGAGATTGGCAGACATAGAAAAATTGCGAGATCGGAAAGAAAATGTACATTTTGCAACCTAAACGACATAGAAGATGAATTCCATTTTGTTTTAGTTTGTGCTACTTATTCAGATTTAAGAAATTTGAATATACCACGTTATCACTATAGACATCCCAGTATGGTTAAATTTATTGATCTGTTAAATACATGTAACCAAGTGCTATTTTTAAGGTTTTTGCTATTTTTCAAGAAAGGTAACTCTGTCGGCCTTGTTTGATTTTAATCTTTACTTTGTGTGATTATGTCCCCTTGACCACATTTGCTATTTGCTCAACCATAACGTTTCCCTCCTAAAGTTAGGGTCACTTGAGGTCATTCTTTGTGTTAAAGAAGTTGTTGGTCATTGTGACATGTAGATGTGTTGGTTTTATATTATTAATAAGGATTTGGATTGAGGATTTGGTATTTGTATGTTTTATTCATTTGTTCTTAAAAGTTCTAATGTCAACTAAATGAAGACTTATAGCAATTAAATACAGTTGTGGATTTGATAAAAGTTATTTTGATAAATTTGTATTGTTCTTGAGTGTTAGAATTCAAGATGGCAGCATATGTTCTTATCTTATAGTTATTCATAGAAATCACTGTTTCTATTTGTATTGCACTGATGTTTGTAAATTACAGTTTACAGCATAATTAACAGCAAAGTGAGATAGGTGTGAGTGACAGAGGTACATGTATATTTACAGAGTCTGATCCACAATTGGTATGTTATATTTATATGTCATTGTTTATATATTTTTGGAGCTACATGTATATTTTTAAGTTGAGCACATAATGTATATTGTTTTATAAGTAAATGATTAAGTGGTCACTAGATGCAGGTACAATATGATGTAATACATTTAAAGATGTATTTTATGTGTACATGATTTATTTACATGAGATAAAATGAATGGTCTATCCATATAGACTGATCTGTTGATTAAGTATATTTAAGGTACTGTAGTGTATACAAGTCATACAAATGTATAAAACTATATATTTCATGATAGTATGGGATGTTTGGTATTTATACTTTCAGGGCTTGATAGATGTGATATAGATGTGATATAGATGTGATGTAACTGTGATGTAACAGTGATGTAACTGTGATGTGTATGTTGTATGATGTATGACATATGATGTTTGATGTTGAGATGTACCGAATTGGAACTATATATAAAGCTAGTGTCCACTACAAATTAAATTGATGAACCAGTAACCCTCAGTTTGTTCTTTACTTATACAAGGCAAAAAGACATCGGGGTCACAAATGGCGCCCAACGGGGGACCCGAACCCACGACCCTCAGATTCAGCCAGTGTCAGTGACAGAAGAAGTGTTCAACAAATTAGAAGAAGATGAACTTAACAGACAGAGAGAGAAAATAGTAGACGATTTGAATATTGATGACAATAATCTGTTAGATATACAACAGAAACAACAGCTTAAAACCCTATTGATGAAGCATAAGGATATTTTCTCCATTAATGACACAGATATTGGACAGTGTAGTAAAGTAAAACACAGAATCGATCTATTGGATGAAATTCCATTTAAACAACGCCATAGACGCATCCCTCCTAATATGATAGATGAAGTACGACAACACTTGGAACAACTTCTAGCATGTGGTATCATCAGACCTTCTAAATCACCTTGGGCTTCCAACATAGTACTGGTACGAAAGAAGAACGGAAAGTTGAGACTATGCGTGGATTATAGAATGTTGAACGAAAGAACTGTAAAAGACTCATATGCTTTGCCTCGTATAGAAGAAGTTTTTGACTGCTTACATGGATCTAAGTACTTTTCAACCATAGATATGAAGTCAGGTTACCATCAAGTGGAGGTAGAAGAAGAGCATAAACCTAGAACATCATTTACTGCAGGTCCACTTGGGTTCTGGGAATACAACAAAATGCCTTTTGGCTTAACAAACAGTCCAGCAACATACCAGAGACTAATGGAAGAATGTCTTGGAGACTTGAATATGCGTATATGTGTTATCTACTTGGACGATCTCATCATATTTAGTAAAACATTTGAAGAACATCTTGAAAGAATAGACTTAATATTTGGTAGACTTAAAGAATGTGCTCTTAAACTGGCAGCAGAGAAATGTTTCTTCTTCAAGAATAGAATAAATTTTCTTGGACATGTTGTAAGCGATGAAGGAATCGAGACAGACCCAGCTAAAATTGACAAAATTAGAAACTGGCCAACTCCAAAGACATCGGGGTCACAAATGGCGCCCAACGGGGGACACGAACCCACGACCCTCAGATTCATTTCTATCATTCGCTGGTTACTACAGACGCTTCATCAGATTTTCAGCAAAGTAGCCAGACCTTTATCAGAATTAATACCACATCCAACTGGCAAGAATAGATCTTAGAAAATAGTTTAAGAATGGTCATAGACAGAAAAGGAGCAATATATATTTTTGAGAAATTGAAAGAGAAATTGACCACACCTCCAATACTGGCACATCCGGGATTTCAGTAGCCGTTTGAGCTTCATGTCAACGGTTCGACAATTGGACTTAACGCTGTCCTTTGCCAGGAACAGGACAACCACAAACGAGTCATTACCTTTGTAAGCAGAGCATTATCAAAGTCTGAAAAGAACTATTCTGCATACAAGTTGGAGTATTTATGCTTGAAATGGGCTGTCACTGAAAAGTTTTCAGATTATCTGACAAACAATCACTTTGTTGTTCTAACAGATAACAATCCTTTGACATACATCTTGACCTCAGCAAAACTTGATGCCACGGGACAAAGATGGGCAGCTGCATTAGGACAATATGATTTCGACATATATTATAGAGCAGGGATTAAGAACACCGATGCAGATGCAATGAGTCGTTATCCATATAACCTTGACACAACAGATGAAGACATTATTAAGATAGAAGATAACGTAGTCAAAGCAGTTTGTAACTCAACAACTACTTCATATTTAGAATCTCTTCCAACAATGAACATCAATATAATAGAAGCAACAGAGAATACAGGACAACCAATGGCACAACTGGAAATGAGAGACATTAGAAGAAAACAGAGAGAAGACCCAATAATCGATAAATGGAGGAAAGCAATCATAGATCAACAAATCCCGGACAAATGTTACTCGAAAGAAGATTTTACATTGAAAAGAAACTTTAAATATTTAAAACAGAAAAGAGGAATTTTGTTCAGAGAAACAGAACAAAATGACAAAACATTGGATCAATTGGTAATACCAGAATTCTACAGAGAAGATATTTTAAGAGGACTTCACAACGATGTTGGTCATCCGGGAAAGGAGAGAACTCTCAGACTTGTTAAAGAAAGATTCTTTTGGCCTGGAATGACAACAGATGTAGATAATTGGGTAACAAAATGCGATCGATGCCTGAGACGAAAGACAAATACAAGTTCTAGAGCTCCATTAGTTAACGTTCACACTACATACCCTTTGGAATTAGTCTGTTTCGACTTCTTGACTCTAGAAACATCAAAAGGAGGTTTTGGTAACATATTAGTTGTAACAGATCATTTCACCAAATTCTCTATGGCTATACCAACAAAAAACCAGACAGCTAAAACAACAGCAGACGCCTTTTACAACAATTTCATCATACACTATGGTATACCTACTAGATTACACTCTGATCAGGGGGCCAATTTTGAATCTGACATCATTAAAGAACTTTGCATTCTAACTAACATGAAGAAATCTCACACATCTGTGTATCACCCGCAATCCAATTCCGGTCCAGAAAGATTTAATCGAACGCTACTTGATATGCTTGGAACTTTGGAAAATTCACAAAAATCTGATTGGAAAAAATATATTAACTCTTTAGTGTTTGCATATAACTGTACACCTCATGAATCAACTGGAATAGCCCCATATGAACTAATGTTTGGAAGAAGTCCCAGATTACCAATTGATACCATGTTTGAAAATGCAAGAGAACACACTTCTAATAAGAATACAAGGGAATATATTGATGACTTAAAAGAAAGGATGGAAAGAACAAGACAAATTGTAGAACAACATACAGATAAAGCTAAACAAAAGCAAAAGAAACAATATGACAAGAAGATCAGAGGTGCAAAAATAGAAATTGGAGACCGAGTTTTAGTTAAAATCCTAGCACATAGAGAAGGAAAACATAAACTGGCAGACAGATTTGAAGAGGATATATATAAAGTGATAGATCAGCCAAGGAAAGAGATACCTGTTTTTCAAGTGAGATCTCCCAATGGTACAGTTAAAACACTGCACCGAAATCATCTACATCCGGTAAACTACTTGGATGATAATGAAGATAATAAAGATGATACTGAAGAAATACAAGAGAAGATAGAAAATATAGTGGAACATGGACAAGAGAAAAGAACGGATGCATCCGAAGAAAGAAAGAGTGACGTCACAAGTGAGGAGTCTGATGAAGATGATGTTGGATATTTTCTTATCCCAGAGACTAGAATATATGGGGACGCCCGTACATCTGACAACAACTCATCTAAAGCAAGAGATAAGGAAAATAAAGTGTTTGTAACAACAATACATAATGGAAATGATGCAGAAACTATAGATGTTTCTGATGAAGGAGAGAGACAGGATAATAAAGGAACAGAGGAGAAATTGATAAAAGATTCAGATGTGACATCTAATAAAACTACAGATGTAGAAGAAGAAAATACAGAAGAGCATATACAAGAGGCAGGAGAGAATACACTTGAAGAAACAATAAACTTTGGGCATATAGAAGAACCGGCTGATGTGGTAGGAAATATCATTAGACAAGATGTTACTATACATAGAAGAGATAGATTGGAAGAAAGACATAGAGATATTGAACATATAGCAAGAGAAAAAGGAGATGAGGATGGAAGTGTTAAACACAAAGAAGAAATTGATGGCAGAAACTTAACTGTAGAAGTAACAGATACTGAAACAGACACAACACTAGGAGAAACAGACACACAGACACGAACAAAACAACTTAAGAGAAACACTAACAGGAAAAGACTTTTACCACCAGATCCACCAAGAAGATCTGATAGAGCAAGAAAACCACCAAAACGCTATGAAGATTTTCAAATGTACGGAATGGTTAATACAAGCACTACACCATATGATTCTAGATTCAAAGCTCTGGAGACATTAATTGGATCAGGGGTACTTCAAACCATGGACATAGACACAGCAAGAAAATTAGTAACATCTCTAATGTCATAATAAGTTTTAAAATTTTAAACTGCTTTTAAGGTTTGATGATAATAATAATAATAAAAAACCTAAATCATATCAAACTTAATATAAAACCTTTGATATTATTATTTTAAAAATATAGTATTAATGTTCTTATGAGATATATCATAATGACATTTTAAATGGGGACATTTTATTTTAAGCAGGGGGGAGAAAGTTGAATGTTAATTAAAGTACATTGTATCAAGTACATAGTACTTTAAGTATATTATTCTTTATGTACATTGTCCATTACGCGTTTAATCCATTGTCCGCAATGTTAAATTGTCTTAAGGAAGTTAAAAGTTAAAGTATGTTATTCTTTAAAGTGCACTGTTCTTTAAGAAGATTGTTCTTTAAGTACATTGTCTTTAAAGTACAAACATTTTTTTGATTAAAGGGAGTTGATCATATAAAGAATCATATTGTGTTTGGTATATTCACAATACATGTTTAATGTAGTTAGTATTAATCTATGACTATCATAGATTTTAGTATGTTAGTTGAAGTAGAGATATTTTGACGAGACAATGACGGGACGTCATTTAAGACGGGGCGGAAATGTGTAACCAAGTGCTATTTTTAAGGTTTTTGCTATTTTTCAAGAAAGGTAACTCTGTCGGCCTTGTTTGATTTTAATCTTTACTTTGTGTGATTATGTCCCCTTGACCACATTTGCTATTTGCTCAACCATAACGTTTCCCTCCTAAAGTTAGGGTCACTTGAGGTCATTCTTTGTGTTAAAGAAGTTGTTGGTCATTGTGACATGTAGATGTGTTGGTTTTATATTATTAATAAGGATTTGGATTGAGGAATTGGTATTTGTATGTTTTATTCATTTGTTCTTAAAAGTTCTAATGTCAACTAAATGAAGACTTATAGTAATTAAATACAGTTGTGGATTTGATAAAAGTTATTTTGATAAATTTGTATTGTTCTTGAGTGTTAGAATTCAAGATGGCAGCATATGTTCTTATCTTATAGTTATTCCTAGAAATCACTGTTTCTATTTGTATTGCACTGATGTTTGTAAATTACAGTTTACAGCATAATTAACAGCACAGTGAGACAGGGGTGAGTGACAGAGGTACATGTATATTTACAGAGTCTGATCCACAATTGGTATGTTATATTTATATGTCATTGTTTATATATTTTTGGAGCTACATGTATATTTTTAAGTTGAGCACATAATGTATATTGTTTTATAAGTAAATGATTAAGTGGTCACTAGATGCAGGTACAATATGATGTAATACATTTAAAGATGTATTTTATGTGTACATGATTTATTTTCATGAGATAAAATGAATGGTCTATCCCTATAGACTGATCTGTTGATATTTGACTAAGTATATTTAAGATAGATCTACTATAATGTACTTAATGAAGTGTACCTTACAAATGTATAAAACTTTATATATTTCATGATAGTATGGGATGTTTGGTATTTTACTTTCAGGGCTTGGTAGATGTGATGTAGATGTGATGTAGATGTGATGTAGATGTGATGTAAATGTGATGTGTATGTTGTATGATGTATGACATATGATGTTTGATGTTGAGATGTACCAAATTGGAATTATATATAAAGCTAGTGTCCACTACAAATTAAATTGATGAACCAGTAACCCTCAGTTTGTTCTTTACTTATACAAGGCAAAAAGACATCGGGGTCACATACATATAATACAAATACTTTGTATAGATTAGCAATATTTTGTAAGGAAGCATTTAGTATTAGAAATGAAAATACGAATAATGTATATTACTAGTATGAAAATATCAAATGTTATATTTGTATGTTTGTATTTTCACTCTCGCTGTATTTAATTTATGCTGTATATTTGTGTAATGACGAGGAACTGTTATGTTCCAGTCATATTGAAAAATAAAATCTGTTCTGTTCTGTTTCTGTTCTGTTCAATTCAAGTTTTTCTTTATATGTTATAATCAATCAAGATTATGAAAACATCGTATCGAACTGAATTGCTTTAATTAATTAATTGAATACGCCACGACATTAATTAAAATTTGTCCGATGATCAAGCTTGCTGATGATCCCTGACCACATTGATTGATACTGTTGTTTCGCCAATTGCCTCTTATAGTTTGCAAAATGATACGATGTGGTCATGGGTAAGAAATTTACTATTTTCATAATAATACTTAGTATACTTGATAATATTAATGTCATATATCTATTGCATGCAGTGATAATTGATATTTTTGTTACGATTTCATACATTTATGAAGATTTATATAGAAATGGACCACCACTGATTATTTTGTAAAAAAAATCCTTGTATTATATGTTTGTATACATGTACTCACAGGCATTTGCCTTTCGTTCAATGAAATTATTCTATTCTATAATTATGTGAAAACCATCGGCTTAAACATTCATATATTTAAAATCTTCATTGAACACCGCCTTTCATTGTTGATCTCGTTTATCATAATTCCATGAATTATTTAATAACAGGTAAGTTACATGTACATAACATTTGTTAACATTGTTTTAATTGTATGTAAAAAAATTCTTCTTATGCTTTAGAAAGGCGGCCTTTCGAACATTTATTCAAACATTGATTGTGACTTGCTTACCATAGAAACTAAAACATTTTTAATTTTTCCCTAAATGAACGTTCTTAAGGGGTTCATTGTTAGTATTTAAATACATTTATTCATTGTTTGAACGTTACGCCAGGAGTCATGAGGAATATTGCAATCAATCATTATCTCCAAACTGAGTCTGGAATATTAATGTAATTGTATTGCGGTCAATGCTTTTGAGGGATCACACTTCATCCAGATTTTTATACTTCACAACAGCAGGTGTCAAGTGCTGTGTGGCAGCTGTTAAAAGTTGCCCTGTACTTCACTTCAGTTTTGTTAAATTTTATGGTCCTTAAGGATAAATATTCCAGCACATCTAACTGTTGAAAATTGATTACCGCTCAAGCCGGTGCTAGGGCGCGTAAAAGATGTTGCATAATCATTATCCCTCAAGTATAGACTCAATCAAACCGAGTCTGCAATTTCTATGTAACATAAACATAAGTGGAATACAATGTGATGTTGTTTTTTTTACCTTGATTCGATTTATATTAGCAAATACAAGTGGATGTCAATTATTTTACATTAAAACAGTTTTCGTTGAACACAATATCAACAGATAATAAGCCGTATTCAATACAATTGAAATCATTTATTGGATTATATACACACGTATTAAAATGGTAAGATCGGACAAAGATGCATTGTTACCGTTGAAATTGCTTATTTTTTAACAAGAAAGAAGTGCCTTGGGCGGTATGAAACCGGAAACAATAACGATCTCGCCGTATTTTTATCAAAGATGTTTTATTTTTGATTTTTGAAGATCGTTCACCACGACATTATTGTTGTGTAAGGATGTTTGTTGTACATTAAGATCCTTCTTATTGGTCTTATTCCTAGTATTCCTAATTGAATACTGAATAATTACCCTTACGATGTTGTGCCATTGTTTTGAATTTGTCTTTTGACTTCTTATGTGATGTACATCCCCTTTCAAAATTACACTTTTCCATTCCATTTTGTTTAGTTCAGCTCCTTATTTCTTGATTAGGGCACGTGCTTTCTGTCATGTGGGAACCTTACGCCATTTTTCATGGAATGACATGAACTTGTCAAATTGAAGATTCTTTAACAGCCGCCATGTGAACATATCTGCGGATGTTTCTAAATTAAAATTTACCATTTTCTTATTAAAAAGCATGCGCTTTGTGGCATAGGCGGTAAATTGTACTTTCCATTATCGTTCTTGAACAGGTCAAACCTGCAACATTCTGTCGTTTTGAGAGTTTTTAAGGATTCCCTTTTCTCTCTATTTTAAGTAATATTTGTGCAACGCCATTGAATAATGTTATATAAATAGGTGTTTTAATTAATTCAATAGTTGTAAGTTATCTAGCTAAACCTATGTTACTGATTACGGATTTACATCAATATGAGTTGCCCACCATTTTTCTTTGACATGAGGTAACAAATAGTTTCAAGTAATGTTTGTGTATGAGTGGTGGGTTGGGGACGGGGTACTTTCTTTATGCTCACATGTTAAAATCCGATTCATTGTAAAACTAAAATAAAATAAATCGAAATTAGAAAATGTTTTAAAGCTACAGTAAATAAATTCCATACAAAAGGAAATAGCTACATTCCGTTAATTGAATATGTTTCATATCGACTCCCGTTCTATCTTTGGCGTCCAGACAACCAAAATGAGTTTTATAAGCCATAAATCTACAACCTCAATGTTTCGAAATGGGAAATACAATTTCTATTTGCATGAGAACCCCCCCCCCTTTGGGTCATCCGTACATCAATAGAAACAGTTGAAAGTATCAGTCCGAATTTAACGGTATATGTCCGCATTATATTAGGGATGTTTTCATACAAATTCAATCTTATTAAGAGGTGATTACTGGGGCTAAGGCGCCGTGAAACTAAAACGGTAAAATTTTGTTTTGCACAAGAATATCACCTATTTGCTGTGATCAACATGGTTACAATTGATTTTACGATTGTGACGTAGCGCATACACCAGCTTATTATACTAGTTTTCATTTGCATGTTAAAATTCGTATACGAACTTTAGTGTTACCGTGGGGTATTACTCTTTTAATCATAACTTATGAACAATTTTTTAAAGAGATTTACAACAATACTGTTAAAAATGTTAACGAAACTATAGAATGCTTGGTTTTTAAGCCGACGGAAAAAAATGCGTACATATTTTATTTAATATAGCTTCAAATATTAAGAAAACTTTCAAATTACCAATGAACGTAAAATATCATGCAGGTAATAATTTGAAAGGATATTTAAGGGTAAGACGGACAGATCTTTATGACACTCTTTTTGAATTACCAATGGGATCATCATGGGTCGTAAATAACGTTATGTCTTACCCAAAAAGGAAGTCAGATCTATCAAAGCCTAATAGTATAAAGTTAAATAAACTAAACTAATGGAAATGCTAAGTTATACAAATAAGGCGAAATAAAACGTGTAATTACGCAATAGCATACGACTATAGAAATAAGCGTGTTAACAGTTTTAACCCAAAACCCAAAAAAACCTTTATGGACTGTATCAAACGTTTTAAACTATCACCACATTATAAAATGTATATCAAATGGAAAAAAATAAAACTGAAAATATCATATAATGTAAAATAACAAAATAACCGCAACCTGCTTATTTATATATATTATGCTTCTTAAAAAGAAAACAATTACACTCACCAAGAAAACAAATTGGAAGCAGAACTCCCAAGCCAAACTCGAATAGAAAAAGATATCTCGTCAAAACATAAATGTAACAATTGATACAAAACTGTGCAGCTTCCGGATTTTTTTCTTTAAATTTATAAAACCTTATTATGAGGAAAAGTTACTTAACAGTTTTAACATGTTTATAAAAAATTCTATTAAATCAAGTAAAGAAAATGTTTGTATGCTTTCTATATTTGTAAACATTGATGTGATTTTAAAGAATTATTATCCTTAGTGTTACATGTATCAACACGACCTTTTTGTTGCGATGTTTTCATTTTTTTACCGTGCACTAGCACAATTTAGGTCATTCGACGCCGAAACAAAAAAAGGAATTTTACTGACCTCAGGTGTTACAAATTAAACAGAAACATTTAAATTTATCTGATATTCTGGAAACTACACTAAAAGTTATATACGCATTCTCTGCCTGATGGCATCTGGTATTCTCCATGGTTTGCTATCTTTACATTTGAACGTTTTTATGTCTTAACCTATTTATTTTTTAACGCTTTTATATCTTTATCCCTTCATATTACTCGTGATGATTGAAACTCTTACGCTTATATTATTCCTATAAGTTGTTTCTCGTTGACACAACTACTTGAAATATTGATAAGATGCTCAGCATATTTTCAAATTTTGAAACAATAATCATACTAACGAAAATCTGGAAACAAAGTGATCCCTCGATAGCATTTATCACAACAAAATTACACGAAAATTGCAGACTAGGTTTGATAGAGTCTTTACATGAGGGATAGTGAATAAAAGCAACATCCCTCACGCCCCCTAGCACCGGTTTGGGCGGTACTCAATTCTCAACATGTAATGGTGTTGGCATCAATGATCCCGAAGGTCCAGAAAAATATAACAACACTGAAGTTAAGTACGGGGCAACTTTTTACAGCTCCAACACAGCACTTGACACCTGCTGTTGTGAAGTATAAAAATCTTGAAAGTGATCCCTCGGAAGCATTAATCACAAGAAAATTACATAAAAATTGCAGACTCGGTTAATTGATTGTGTACATGAGGGATTATGAATAAGTGCAACAGTATTACTTTGATTTGAAATACTTTTGTATCAATTCATCAAGTTTTTTTTTGATGTTTTAGGTTCACAGTTCAAAGTTAAATTACAAAGAGAAAGTGCTTTGTTTTTGTACTCTTGTTATTAATGTGGCTTTCCGACATAATTGTTTAAACACAGAAAATGCATAACATTTATTTTACATGAATATGACACAATACTGTAACCTGTACTGACAAAAGTTGTATTGTGGCTTAAAACATATTTGAACTCATTT